AAGGAGCAGGGAGCTTCTAGCAGCATTTTTCAAAAAATGGAAAATTGATTTTTTTTCATGTCGACATAAAGTTGGTTCCCCCAAGTGTTTTGATAGCAAAAGTGCGCCTACAGAGCTCATACTAAGCCGCAGAGACCCTCATAGTCTCTCACAGGTGCGGAAAATCTGGTCTCTCTCAAAATGAATGGTCAAATATCTTTCAAATCTTAGCAACACCGACCCAAAGTCACCACATTGTCCTTTCTGAGCGGGTCGGCCAACTAGCTCCACCCCGCGCCGGAATTCCTCTAGCTCATCGATGACGAAGAGCTCTACGAGGTAATACTGGCGCCGGCGGCAAACCCTCAACCTGGCTACCGCCGGGAATCTCGTAGAGCTCCTTGCACGCATACGAGTTCCCAGAATCGAAGCAGAGAACTGAGATGGAGATTTCTCTAAAATCTTAATTTTTTCATTTTTCAATGTTGATATGAGGTCGGTTCCCGGAAGTGAACCGATAGTAAAAATCCCTTAGGAGAGCTGAGCTGCTCTCTCAGAACGAAGCTTATATGCCAATGCTCAGCGTAAAAATCTGCTGTCAAAATGAATGGTCAAATATCTTTCAAAACCTAGCAAAAGCGACCCAAAGATACCACATTGTCCGTTCTGGTCGGGTCAGCCAACTAGCTCCACCCCGCGCCGGAATTCCTCTAGCTCATCGATGCCGAAGAGCTCTACGAGGCACGCGCTCTCATGGGGTCTCGCCTCCCGGGTCGCGCGAGCGCAAACCCTGGACTGGGCGCCGGCGGTGCACCGTCAACCTTGGTTACCGCCGGGAGACTCGTAGAGCTTCCTTGCCATATACCATCTCCAAAGAATCAGCAGAGAACGATAGTTTTCCAGCCCGAGCGCTGATAGCAGACTGATTTCAGGCGTCTAGATACATTTGACTAGCGCCCCTGATGATTCCCTTCCCATTGCTGTGCGGAACAGCTGTGTAGCTCATCTGCAGCACGAGTAAAACCAGGAAGACCAATACCATCTCCAAGAAATTAGCAGAGTACAAACAGTTGTTCAGCCCGAGCGCTGAAAGAAGACTGAGTCCAGGCGTCTAGATAGTTTCAAATAGCGCGCCTGATGATTATCTTCCGATTGCTGTGCCTAAGAGCTCTGGATCTCATCTGCACCTCGAGTTCAATCAAGAAAACCAATTCCATCACCAGGAATAGCAGAGCATGACTAGTTGTTCCGCGTCTGCGCTCATAACAGAACCAATCCAAGCGTCCAGATACTTCAGACAGCGCGCCTGGTGATTTCCTTCCGATTGCTGCGCCGAAGGGCTATCAAGCTCATCTGCAGCTCGAGTTACGTGAAGAAACTCACCATCAGCTCGAAAAGAATTGGTCGAATACGAAGAGTTTCGCGGACCTAACTCGAGTAGCCGACCGAGTTCAGACCTCTAGATGCTTCAGCCGAACGCGCCTGATGATTCTGAATCGATTACGTGCGCGCAGCAGCTCTGTAGCTCTCCTACAGCCCGAGTAAAGACTACAGAAAACTGACAGCACCTGTCAAGATGACTCGAAACAGCTAACAGTTTCGCAGACCCAGCTCGAGTAGCAGACCGAGCTCAGACCTCTAGATGCTTCAGACGAACGCGCCTCATGATTATGAATCAATTCCGTGTGCGCACTAGCTCTGTAGCTCTCTTACATCTCGAGATAAGTACAGAAAACCGACCGCACATGTCAAGATGACTCGAAACAACCAATGGCTTCGCGGACCTAGCTCGAGTAGCAGACCGAGTTCAGACCTCTAGATGCTTCAGACGAACGCGCCTGATGATTCTGAATCGATTCTGTGTGCATACCAGCTCTGTAGCACTCCTACAGATCGAGTTAAGTACAGAAAACCGACAGCACCTGTCAAGATGACTCGAAACAGCCGATCCCGCCGGAGTGCTTTTTGGCAGTAGTAGGTACCCGATCGAGCTGAGATTAAGACGGCGAGCGGGAATAAGATCGAATGCCACGGGGAAAAATACTAGAGCTCTAACGAGTAGTTGAAAACAAAAGATCCGTCGATAATTTTCTTGCCAACTGGGCGCCGGCGGTAAACCGTCAACCTTCGTTACCGCCGGGAGACTCGTAAAGCTTCCTCGCTCGTCCGCGGCTCGAGTTAAATCATGAAAACCAATACCATCTCCAAAGAATTAGCAGAGGGCGAATAGTTTTTCAGCCGAAGCGCTCACAGCATAGCGTCTAAATACTTTTTACTAGCGCCCCTGATGATTGCCTGCCGATTGATGTGCTGAACGGCTCTATGGCTCATCGTCAGCGCGAGTTAAGTGAAGAAAATCATACGTTCCCCAAGAAATTAGCAATCGCAAATCGTTTTTCAGCCCGAGCGCTCATAGCGAGTTCAGTCAAGAAAACCATCACATTCTCCCAGAAAGTTGAGCATTACGAATAGTTGTTCGGCTCCAGTGCTGAGAGCAGACCGAGTTCATGCGCCTGGATACTTTAGAATAGAGCGCAGATCACTGCCTTCCGATTGCTGTGCCGAAGAGCCCCTCAGCTCATTTGAGGCTCGAGTTAACTGGAGAAACTCAGCATCATCCCCCGAAGAAATAATAGGCCTAGCTCGAGTAGCAGACCGAGTTCAGACCTCTAGATGCTTCAGACGAACGCGCCTGATGATTCTGAGTCGATTACCTGTGCGCATCAGCTCTGTAGCTCTCCTACACATCGGGTTAAGTACAGAAAACCAACAGCATCTGTCAAGATGACTCGAAACAGCCGATCCCGCCGGGACGCTTTTTGGCAATAATAACTACCCGATCGAGCTGAGATTAAGACGGCGAGCGGGAATAAGATCGAATAGCACGGGATAAATTACTAGAGCTCTAACGAATGGTTGAATCTCGAGAACATAATTCTCAACCGAGCAAAAGTCACCAAAAGGTTCGTCGAGATTTGTCTTGCCAACTGGCGCCGACGGTGAGCCGTCAACCTGGTCACCACCGGGAACCTCGTAGAGCTCCTTGCACGCCCAAGAGCGCACAGACTCGAGGCAGAGAACTTCGCAGAAAACTTTCTTAAAATCTGCATTGATGCATTTGTTGATGTCAATATGCGGTCGGTTCCCGGAAGTGAGCCGGATAAAACTTCCTCGGGGGAGCTGAGCTGCTCTTGGAACAAAGCGTATATGCCAATGCTCAGCGTAAAAATCTGCTTTCTCAACATGAATGGTTGAATATGTTTTCGAATCTTAGCAAAACCCACCCAAAGTCATCACATTGTCCGTTCTGGTCGGGTCGACCAACTAGCTCCAGCCCGCGCCGGAATTCCTCTAGCTCATCGATGCCGAAGAGCTCTACGAGGTACTAGCTCCCCAGCGCGCCGGAATTACTCTTAAACTTCCAGCAACTGGGCGCCGACGGTAAACCGTCAACCTTGGTTACCGCCGGGAGACTCGCAGAGCTTCCTTGCCATATATGATATCCAAAGAATTTGCAGAGAACGAAAAGTTTTTCAGCCCGAGCGCTGATAGCAGACTGATTTCAGGCGTCTACATACATTTCACTAGCGCCCCTGAGGATTCCCTTCCGACTGCTGTGCTGAACAGCTGTAGGTCATCTGCAGCACGAGTAAAACCAAGGAAACCAATACCATCTCAAAGAGACTAGCAGAGTACGAATAGTTGTTCAGCCCGAGCGCTGATAGCAGACTGAGTTCAGGTGTCTAGATACTTTCAAAAAGCGCGTATGATGATTCTCTTCCGATAACTGCGCCCAAGAGCTCTGAAGCTGATCTGCACCTCGAGTTCAGTCACGGAAACCAATCCCATCACCATAAAAGTAGCAGAGTATGACTAGTTGTTCGGCTTCTGTGCTCATGACAGAGCCAAGCCGAGTGTCTAGATACTTCAGACTTGCGTGACTGGTGATTTCCTTCCGAGCGCTGTGCCGAAGAGCTCTCAAGCGCATCTGCAGCTCGAGTAAAGTGAGAAAACTCAACATCATCTCGTGAGAAATCAGTAAAAACCAAAAGCTTTGCGGAGCTAGCTCGAGTAGCAGACCGAGTTCAGACCTCTAGATGCTTCAGACGAGCGCGCCTGATGATTCAAGATCGATTACGTGTGCGTATCAGATCTGTAGCTCTCCTACAGCTCGAGTTGAGTACAGAAAATCGACAGCACCTGTCATGATGACTCGAAGAATACGAATAGTTCTCGAGTAGCAGACCGAGTTTAGACCTCTAGATGCTTCAGACGAACGCGCCTGATGATTCTGGATCGATCACGTTGGCGTACCAGATCTGTAGCTCTCCTACAGCTCGAGTTAAGTACAGAAAACCGAGAGCACCTGTAAAGATGACTCGAAACATACGACTAGTTTCGCGAAGCTAGCTCGAGTAGCAGACCGAGTTTGGACCTCTAGATGCTTCAGACGAACGCGCCTGATGATTCTGGATCGATCACGTGTGCGCACCAGCTCTGTAGCTCTCCTACAGCTCAGGCTAAGTATAGAAAACCGAGAGCACCTGTCAAGATGACTCGGAACAGCCGATCCCGCCCGGACGCTTTTTGGCAGTAGTAGGCACCCGATCAGGCTGAGATTGAGACGGCGAGCGGGAATAAGATCGAATAGCACGGGAAAAAATACTAGAGCTCTAACGAATGCTTGAATTTCGAGAACATAATTTTCAACCGAGCAAAAGTCACCAAAAAGTCCGTCGAGATTTTTTTGCCAACTAGCTCTCCAGCGCGCCGGAATTACTCGTAAGCTTCCTGCAACTAGCTAAGGGAAGCTCTACGAGTTACTAGCTAAGGGAAGCTCTACGAGTTACCGACCCAAAGTTACCACATTCTCCGCCCGGGCCGGGTCGACGAACTAGCTCCACCCCCCGCCGGAATTCCTCTAGCTCATCGATGCCGAAGAGCTCTACGAGGCACTGGAAACCGGCGGTAAAAGGTCAACCAGGTTACCGCCGGGAGACTCGTAGAGCTATTTTTTTCGCGAGGAGATGCTCAGAACACATGGAGAGAGCTTTCTCAGGCGTGAGCTGGGAACTCTGTTTTTATCCAAAGTCGGTTGCTTCAAGTGTTTTGATAGTAATACTGCAGCTACGGACCTGAGAATTTCGCTGGCGGACGTGGCATAACCCACTACAGGTGCGAAAAATACCAGTTGACAAAACGAACTTTCAAATCTCTTACAATGTTCAAAAAACAGACGCGAGGTCATCAGGCGTTGTGATGACGTGGCGGTACTGGCTCCGACAGCGCAGGCGTTGAAGCGTTCGCCTGCGCTTTCATTGGGCAATGTAAGATGAGAGGGGAGGGGAGGAGGCACAGCGTTACGCAGAGGGGAGGGGAGAAGGAGGAGGATGATAATGAGTGTCCCGAGGAAGAGAACCACCGCACGTGCAAGCAATAGGGTGGTGCATTTGCACCAACTGCTGCTTGCCAACGTCTCATGCGAGGGCCAACGTACGGTCGGTGAGCGCAGGGTGCATCGCTGCCTCACCAGCAAACGAGAGCCTCCCATACTGTCATAGCTCTACCGACCTCCCACTCCTTCGTCCGCTGGACCCCGACTTCGAACGAGTGTCCTAACCCCGCTGAGCATTGGCGCGCGGGGCGCTGGATTTCGGGAATAAAAAGCACGCTCACAACATGCTTCACATTGGGTGCTGAAAACAACTGGCCAGGATGCGGGCCGTCTGAGCTTCGCTGAGGCGCGAACTGGGGCATGCATGCCCTGGAATTCCCACGCAGCAGGGCGGACTCTGACTGGGCGTTCGGGTGGGGTCGGGCGAGCCTGTGGTCCAGGAAATCCGAAACATCACGAGGAAGGAGGAGGAGGAAAGGAGGGCGGGAGGGATATGGGGAGGGAGGTACGGGGGGGAGGAGGGGAGATGGAGGAGAGGTTGGAGGGGGTCCGCGGTAGGAGTGTAGGCCTCAGGGGCTTTGTTAATTCAAGCTTCGCGCGGCCCGCTTAGCTTCGACTGGAAGAGGTGCGCTCTCTACCCGCGAATCAAAAAGTGTAGGCCTCAGGGGTTGGAGACGTGCGGTGGTTTTATGAAGTGGAGTCCCGAGGTATCCTGCGCCTAGTCAACAGCGCGACTCCTGAGTAAAGGATGCAGAATTTCGGAAGACGTGCCAAGTGAGAACGCGTTTCTTTAGTGGCGAGGGCTCAATTCCAAAATCGAAAGGGAGTCTGGGTGCCTATAGGCACCTTTTGGGTAGAGAAGCACCGATGGTCACTGGTGGGTGGGATTAGCAATACCTAGCATGCAATAGCCACTTTGCCCCCATTCTGAGTGCTTCAGCATGCCCCATGCATCCGTCATGATCCCTTTCACTTTGTGTGTGAACTGTGTGTGGCGTTTTTTTTGCATGCCCGTGCTTGCCAGGAAATCCTACCCACCAATATCCTGTCAACAACTTCTGATGCACTTTGATATTCCCAGCTTGGGTCTCCCCCGGGGCCGTAGGCGACACGAGGAGGGGAGGGGGAGGAGGGGGGGGAGGAGGAGGAGGAGGAGGAGGAGGAGGAGGAGGGGAGGAGGAGGAGGAGGAGGAGGAGGAGGAGGAGGAGGAGGAGGGGAGGGGGAGGAGGAGGAGGAGGAGGAGGAGGAGGAGGAGGAGGAGGAGGAGGAGGAGGAGGAGGAGGAGGAGGAGGAGAGAGGAGGACGGGTCGCCTAAGCCCTTCGGAGTAACCCTCCATCCCAGCTCGGATGATACATGGGCGTCGCTATCGCCTCAGAGGGGCCCGGGGGAAAAGCTTTCGAGCTTCAGGGAGGGGCCTCGGGGCCTCGGGGCCAGGCCTCCGCGCCTGCGGAGGACGCCTCACAACCTCTGGGGGGAGCCCTTCAGCTCACAGGGGGAAGGTCGGAGTCTTCCTCCTCCTCCTCCTCCTCCTCCTCCTCCTCCTCTCCTCCTCCTCCTCCTCCTCCTCCTTTGGGGGGAGCCTTTAAGCTCACAGGGGGAAGGTCGGAGTCTTCCTCCTCCTCCTCCTCCTCCTCCTCCTCCTCCTCCTCCTCCTCCTCCATTTCTCTGGGGGGAGCCTTGAAGCTCACAGGGGGAAGGTCGGAGTCTCTGGAAATGGCCTCAGGGCCTCTGAGGGTCTCTTCGCCTGTGCACATCGCCTTCGCCCTCTGGGAGAAGCCTCGGGGGCTGCGTGAGAGGTCGCACGGGCTCTGGGGCCATCCTCCCTTCCCCAGGGCGAAGCGTTCCCCTGGAGACCTCCTAGATGGGGTCCGAGCAGATGGGGTCGGAGGATCGCGCCGCATCGCCGATGCATCGCCGATGCATCGGCGATACATCGACGATGCATCGGCAATGCATCGGCGACGTCGGCGGTGCATCGGCGACGTCGGCGTGGAGAAATCGGGCTCCACATCGAGCCGCATCGCCGATGCTCGGTAATGCGGCGTGATCCTCCGACCCCATCTACTCGGACCCCATCTGGGAGGCCTGGTCAGCTGCGTGATTCCTCCCATGGTTGGCCAGGAAACCCCAGGGGCAAAACGCCTCTTCAAAATGAAGGTACCTAGACAATAGTGCACGATACGTTTTTCACGCGCTCGGCCACTCAAAAACCAAGCTGGGCCTTGAAAGCAAAAGAGCCGGGGAATCGCGCATCCAGAGCCACATCTTTCTAGATCAAAGCTTGTTTCGCGCACCGTGTACGTGGTGTCGCGCGCGAACTGTCGGCGCCATGGTGCCATGTGAATGGTGGCATTGCTGTAACGTGCGTGTGACACGAGGGGCGAGACAAACGAACATCAGGTGAAGGAAGAAACCACTCCCTCAGTAAATGCCTGATCCAAAAGGCTTGCCAATGATCATGCTGATGCTGCTGATAATGAGAATGATGATGATGCTGCTGCTGCTGCTGATGATGACGATGATGATGACGATGCTGATGCTGATGCTGATGATGATGCTGCTGATGACGATGCTGATGCTGATGCTGATGCTGATGCTGATGCTGATGCTGCTGATGAGGATGATGGTGATGATGATGGTGATGGTGATGGTGCTGCTGCTGCTGCTGCTGCTGCTGCTGCTGCTGCTGCTGCTGCCGACTCGTGCGATCGCGCGCTCAGCATGGCGACCAACCCTGCGAATGACGCCGTAGCAGCGCGGCTGCACCTTGCCGTCGCTCGGACGTCCATTTCCCGTGCATTTTTCGGTTTCGTGCGTGTTTTTTTTTGCTCGATGGTCCAGGATCGTCCTCAATGGTTCTCGCCGGGAACACATGCACACGTCCGAGCGATGCCAAGGTACCGAAAGCCACCATCGCCCGGGACAACATCCGCCAGCGCCACAGGCAGGAACGGCCGGCCGGACGCGGGTGCGCGGGCCAGCGGCCCCATCGCCAGGGCAGCCAAAAGCGCTCGAGATGCGGGCGAGGCCGTGCGGCGACGCTGCACTGCAGGCGGTGCTGCTCCCCTGGCCACGGCGACGAGGTGCACGGCGCGGACGAGGACGCAGAAGCCGCATCGCCGGCCGACGGCGCTTCTAGGGAAACGAACAGTGACATAAACATAACAACTCGGAGGTCCGCGCGGATTTCTCGGATCGGCGCTGAGGCCCCCTGGCGGCGCCTCCGGCGCCGCCCCCTGGCGCGCGGAGCGCGCCAGGGAGGGGGGTGCAGCGCGGATCCAAGAACTCCGAGTTTTTATGTTTATGCCACTCTTCGTTCCCCTGGCTTCGAAAGTGCCCGACTCCACGTCCTCCTCCGGCTCCTCCACGGGCGGGGCGGAGATGCTCAGCAGCGCATGCGCCCCCGGACCCCTGCGGCAACGGCCGGCGCCGCCAAGGGCGCCCACGGGCACGGCGAGGCCGTGGCTCCCCCTCCGCCCCCTCTCTGCCCGGGCTCCGCAAGGGAGGGGCAGCGGGCCCGCGGAGAGGCCCGGGTGCTTTCCCTGGGGGCGAGGCCCAGAGCGAGGAGGCCTCCCTCGACGGAGGCGGAAGCGCACCTGCCTCAGGGCCTGGAGCCGAGGAGCACCCAAAAGGGGCGGCACGGAGGCGACGGCAACGAGCTCTGCGAGCGGGCAGGAGTCCACCAGGAACAGCGCCTCGGGGACCACCGCGACGAGGGCCAAGGTCAGCAGGCGGCGGCCCGCACCGAGGTACCCCGCCTCGCAGAGATCCAGGAATAACAAAACACCACGAGCCACAGGACGTACCTTGCCCACCAGCTCCTCGACCAACGGGCCACAGCCGACGACCTGGGGCCGCCCCGTGGAAGGCGCGGACCAAGCGGTGTGCACGGGCTCCAGCATGCCGCGCGAGCGCGCAGGCTTCCAGATGAGGTCGAGCACGTCGTCGGCGATTGCGGAGCAGCCAGCGGTGACCAGCTCCTGTGGTGCAGCCTCGGCGACACTGCTGCCGACAGGAATAGGACCACCAGGAACCTGCACGAAGTTGGGCCTAGGCGAGCAGACATCAGGATGGTCTCCATGGAGACCTCCACTTCTTTTTGCTTTTGCATTCTCCCCCAAACAGTGCTGGCACTTCGGGGTTCTTACTCGTCCCCCTAAGGACGTGGCTGGGTCCGGCGAAGATTCGCCACGTTGCCGCCCGTTGCCGCCTCGTTGCCGCCTCGTACGCTGGGTGGGTCCCGCGAGGTTCCGCCACGTTGACACCTCGTTGCCGCCTCGTGTGCTGGTTGGGTCCAGCGAGGTTCCCCCATGTTGCCGCCTTGTTGCCCCCGATGCCGCCTCGTGCGCTGGATGGGTCAAGTTGCCGCCCGTTGCCGCCTCGTTGCCGCCTCGTGCGCTGGGTGGGTCCAGTGAGGTTTCGCCACGTTGCCGCCCGTTGCTGCCTCTTTGCCGCCTCGTGCGCTGGGTGGGTCCAGTGAGGTTTCGCCGTGTTGCCGCCCGATGCTGCCTCTTTGCCGCCTCGTGCGCTGGGTGGGTCCAGTGAGGTTTCGCCGTGTTGCCGCCCGATGCCGCCTCATTGCCGCCTTGTGCTCTGGGTGGATGCGGCGAGGTTTCGACACGTTGCCGCACGATGCCGCCTCGTTGCCGCCTCGTGCGCTGGGTGGGTCTGGCTAGGTTGGGTTTCGCTTCGTTGTCGCCTCGTGCGCTGGGTGGGTCCGCCTATGTTTCGCGACTTGCCGCCCGTTGCTGCCTGGTTGCCGGCCGCCTCTTTGCCGTCTCGTGCGCTGGGTGGGTCGGGCGAGGTTTCGCCACGATGCCGCCTCGTTGCCGCCTCGTGCGCACGGTCGGTTTGGGGAGATTTCGCCATGTTGCCGCCTCGTTGCCGCCTCGTGCGCTGGGTGGGTCCCGCGAGGTTTCGCAACTTTGCCGCCCGATGCCGCCTCGTTGCCGCCTGGTGCGCTGGGCGGGTCTGGCGAGGCTTCGCTATGTTGCCGCCTCGTTGCCGCCCGATGCAGCCTCGTGCGCTGGGTGGGTCCGGCGAAATTTCGTCACGTTGCCACCCACTGCCGCCTCGTCGCCGCCTCGTAGGCTGGTTGGGTCCAGCGAGATTCCGCCAGGTTGCAGCCCGTTGCCGCCGCGTGCGCTGGTTGGGTCTGGCGAGGCTTCGCACCATTGTCGCCCGTTGCTGCCTTGTTGCCCCCGCGTGCGCTGGATGGGTCTGGCGAGGTTTCGCCACGCAGCCGCCTTGTTGCCACCCGATGCCGCCTCGTGCGCTGGGTTGGTCGGGCGAGGTTTCGCCGCTTTGCGGCCCGATGCAGTCTCGTTGCCGCCTCCAGCGTGCACCGCGTATATCACACCCACATCGTGTACACCACATAGCTTGCACCACACAGCTTACACATCCACAGTGCAAGAACTCACTGCTTGGGGTCCACCCTGGCCGCCTTTCTTGCTTGCCTGTGGTCTTCTTCGTCCCGTTTTGTTGTGTTTTTCCAGCGCGAGCCATCGGGCGGCTCGAGGAGCAGAGCAGAGGGGACGAGGCAAGCACCCGACGACAGCAGGCGGCCCTCGCGACCACGCCCGCAGCCTGGGCCCCGTGCGCCCGGGGGCGCGCGCAGGGGCCACCGTGGCCGGTGGGCCACGGCGCCGCTGGCACGCCAGAGCGGCTGCGGCCGCGGAGGCCGCGGCAGCAGCCGGGGCCCCCAGGCAGGCCCGCGGACTCCGCGGCTCGCCCGGCGGCCCCGGCGCACGGAGGTCCGCCGCGGCCGCCGGCGGCGGCACTCCCCGCGGGAGCGCCGGGGCCGCCCGCGCGCGCGGCTCGGCACGCGCCCGGCGACGCTGGCGTAGGGGGCCACAGTGCCCCACGCGCCCGGCGACGGTGGCGGCCACGGGTGCAGGGGAGGGGAGAGCAGAGTGCAGCAGGCCGAGGCGGCACGAGGGGCGCAGCTGCCAGGATGCCCCCTGCGCGCTCCCCGGGAGGCGGCCCGCGGAGGCCTCGGATCCGCGGCCTCGCCGGCCCTCCGCAGGCCACGCCGCCCTCGCTGGAGGGGGCGGGGGGAAGGGCTCTTGACTGGAGACTCCTCCTCTGCAGGAGCAGCGGCGGCCGAGGCAGCGACGCGCGGGCGACAGGCGCGGGAGGGGGCGCCCCCCCTGGCACGACACGCCTCGCGCTGGGGGGCTGCGCGCGGCGGAAGCTCGTCGCCACCCATGGCTCCACCGGGCGAGCTCGGGCCCGGGCAGCAGCCTCTGGCGTTGGTGGCGGTGATGATGATGGAGGTGGCGAGGGGGAGGAGGAAGGGGCGGATGAGGAGGCAGACGAGGGAAAGGATGGGAAGGGGGGGGCATAGAGGGCCTCATGCTGCTACTCCATTCTCCAATCGCTCTCTCTTTCTCCCCCTCCTGTCCCGTCCTCTTGCTCCTCCGTGAAGGTAGCGGCCGCAAGCCAACTGACAGTCAGATTCAAGGCTCCCGGCCAATACTTCAACGGAGCCCCGATGCTCAAGGGATCTCGCTGGACGTGCAAAATGCCAGCATGTGAGACAGCCGCGCATGCCCGAACGCGTCAAGCTTTGCACCAGCGAGCGAGACGAAGTGCGGCATGGTGAGGTGTGGGGAGGACTGGCGTGGAGTGTAGTGGAGTGGAACGGAGAGGGCAAAGAAGTGAGGAGGAATGGGACTCGGAGGGGAGGGGTGAGGACCAAGGTGGTGGTGGTGGTGGTGGTGGTGGTGGTGGTGGTGGTGGGTGGTGGTGGTGGTGGTGGTGGTGGTGGTGGTGGTGGTGGTGTGGTGGTGGTGGTGGTGGTGGTGGTGGTGGTGGTGGTGGTGGTGGTGGGGGTGGTGGTGGTGGTGGTGGTGGTGGTGGTGGTGGTGGTGGTGGTGGTGGTGGTGGTGGTGGTGGTGGTGGTGGTGGTGGTGGGGGAGAGCACGGAAATAGATTGCCTGATGGGTGTGTTGATGTCGCACGTAAACTTTGGGCGCTCCGCGCGGAGCGCCACAAGTTTATGTTTGTGGCGTTTTTTTCTTCTTCGATTGCAGGAAGATGTAGGCGGAGGAGGAAGGAGTGGTAATCCACGGATTCCCGCTTGCCAGGGGTGAGAAGGCGTGTGAGATGATTGGGGCTGCCCCCTCCTCCTCTTCCCCCTCCCTCTGAGGCCAAACATCGCTTCAGATGGCGGGTTCCCGAAACCCTCAAACGAAACATGTTGTCACCTCTTGGATCGGGGGTTGCTAAAGGGTGCCCCTGGCCCAAGGTGCCCCCAACTTTTCGCTCAACTTTGGAGCCCCTGGTGCCCTCCGGAAGGGGTGCTCTGGAGGCCGTGGGGGCACTTCTAGCAACACCCCATTGGCAAGCAACTTTTGACTTTCGCCGGCTACCGCCAGCGGAGCCGTCCTCGTTTTACTTCCGCCGCCTTCCGCCGAGGAAGAGATGGCAGCTCCTTCGATCCTCACAGGCGAGGCCCTTTCTGGAACGCCCCAGATCGGTGGAAGGCCTTGGGGGGGGGGAAGCGGGAGGGGGGCGGGGGCACGAGCCTGGAGGAGGAGGAGGAGGAGGAGGAGGAGGAGGAGGAGGAGGAGGGGGAGGAGGAGGAGGAGGAGGAGGAGGAGGAGGAGGAGGAGGAGGAGGAGGAGGGGGAGGAGGAGGAGGAGGAGGGGGAGGAGGACAAGCTAGGTGCGCTCGCGTCATATCTGACGTCCTACCCCTCCCTCCCATCCCTTACCATGGCGCTGATTTTCTCTATCCGCGGACGCGTGTCGTAGCGGACCTGTGGCTCCGCGCGCGCGTGCGTAGTGGGTGGTGGTGCACGTGCGTGCGTGCGTGCGTGTGTGCGTGGTTGTCGTGGTGGTGGTGGTGGTGGTGGTGGTGGTAGTGGTGGTGGTGTGTGGTGGTGGTGGTGGTGGTGGTGGTGGTGGTGGTGGTGGTGGTGGTGGTGGTGGTGGTGGTGGTGGTGTGGTGGTGGTGGTGGTGGTGGTGGTGGTGGTGGTGGTGGTGGTGGTGGTGGTGGTGGTGGTGGTGGTGGTGGTGGTGGTGGGGGTGGTGGTGGTGCGGCGCGGTGGTGGCGGGCGGATGGGCGCGCGAGAAAGAGGCCCGCGCTGGGGCGAGAACGCCATCCTGAACGACGGAGGCCAAACACCGATCTGAAAATGAGGCCCACGCTGCAGCGGGAGCACGATTCGGAACGATTCGGGAGCAGAAATGAGGCTGGCGCCTCAGCGAGAGCAGCATTTTGCAAAAAAAAAAAAAAAAAAAAAAAAAAAAAAAAAAAAAAAAAAAAAAAAAAAAAAAAAAAAAAAAAAAAAAAAAAAAAACCCAAAAAAAACCCAAGCGAAAACCCGTTTCCGGGGAATCCTGTGTGTAAAAAACACTACGCGGGGGGGTGTCGGATATCTTCGGGACGCCATCAGGGGAAGTGGGAGAGTATTTTCATATTGTGTAATTGTGGAGGAGGAGGAGGAGGAGGAGGAGAAGGAGGAGGAGGAGGAGGACGAGGAGGAGCTGGGGCCGCTCCAGAGCCTCCAAGGAGCCCCGAGACGGCCCCATGGGCGTCGCGACAGTCCATCTGAGAGCGGCGAGGCGGCCCGGGGTAACCCCGCGCGACGGTCCCAGCGCCGATATGGCTTCGAGAAGGCCCTCGAGGCCCCCAAGACGGCCCAGGGGCTTAGCCGCTCCGATACACAGCACGCAACCCGTAGCGTGTTGACACGGGGCGCAACGCGGAGATTGAACATGGACGTTTGGCTTGATCCGTTCGCCAAAACGCAAGCCAACACGTTGAGCCACCACACAGTATCAGCACGGACGTTTTGAACACGGTACGTGTTGCGTTTCAAAACTGGCGTTTCAAGGCAGCTGAGCCCAAGGGTGTTCCCTGAGGGCCGCCAGGAGGGCCCCAAGAGGCGAACTTCGTTCCATTCTCAACCAGTGAAGGCGTACATCTTCGACATGTGTGCCTTTTCTTGGCAGTGCCCACTACAGCCCAGCGAGCCCCCAAGATCGTTCCAAGGCGGTCCATGAGGCTCCCAATACGGCCCAATAGAGCCCCACGAGAGCCCCAAGACGGCCGCGAAGACGGCCCAGGAAGGCCCCAAGAGGGGCCCAAGGGAAGCGGCTGAACTGGCCCCCAACTGAACTGGGTGGGCCCCGGTTGAATTGGTGCCCAGGAACTGGCCCCCACTGAACTGGTCCCTGGCTGAACTGGGCCCCCGTGATCTGGGCCCAGGCTGAACTGGGCCCTGGATGAACTCGCTCCCGGGGGGCAGCCGACTGGCGCTTCCCTCTGCCCGTTGACCTGGGCCCTGGCTGATCTGGACCCTGGAAGTTCGGCCCCGCTGAACTGGTTGGGCCCTGGCTGCTCTAAACGAGCTGGCCTCAGGAGGAGGAGGAGGAGGGAGGAGGAGGAGGGAGGAGGAGGAGGAGGAGGAGGAGGAGGAGGAGGAGGAGGAGGAGGAGCTGGTTGAGCTGGTTGAGCTGAGCCCCGATGAACTGGGCCCCGGGTGATCTGGGCCCCCCGCTGAACTGGGCCCTGGATGAACGCGATCGCCTGGGGCGGCCGACCGGCGCCCACCTCCGCGTCCCTCGGGCCCGCCGCTCTCACCTGGGTTCGACTTCGGTGGGGGCCCAGCTCAGCCTCTCCTGGATGCGGCGGATCTCGCGCACGGCCCACTCGCGACCTGGGGGTTTCCCTCGCCGCTCGGGCGGCCCCTCGAGGGGACCGCGCTCAGCTGGCGCCAACGTTGCCGTCGTCTGCAGGCGCGCTGGGGCTGAAATGGGCCCTGGCTGAATTCGGCCCCAAACCCTGAGATCCGACGGCGCGAAACAGTTGAAACGTCGTAGAACATCAGGACTGGAGCCCTAGACCGCATCCCGCGCTATTCTTCGAACCGGATCGATCTGCGACGATCCCAGGGCCCGAAACTGGGCGAAAACGCCTGGCTCAGAACAATTGAGACGCCAAGATCTCGGGGAGTGCACTCGGGCCGGGGGCGTCCGCGGGCGCTGCCCTGGCGCAGTTGGGCTCTGGACGCCGCCCTGGCGCAGTTGGGCTCCGGATGAGCTCGGCCTTGCATGAGCTCGGGCCTGGGGCAGCGGAGCGTGCCTGTCTCCGCGGACTCGGGGGCGGCCAAGAGGGGGGCGTCCAAGAGGGGGGCGCATATCATGGCCGGCGGCATGTGCGCGGCCCAGGGGGGGGCCAGGGACGTGTTGAAGCAAGAAGAGGCGCCATGAAGTCTGAGGAAATATCATGGCCCACGCCATGATATCCCCCCCCCCTTGTCATCACCCCCCTCTTGGCCGCCCCCGACGGACGCTGAACTGGTCCCTGGCGGCGCTGGGCCCGGGATTCGCTCGGACCCGGCGCGGCCGAGCGGGGCTGGCTGTGCGGGCGGCTCAGCGGTGAGCTGAGTCGGGCCGCCCCGGAGCTGCCTGGCCCTGGGCGCTGGGCTCGGCGGGGGGCTCGCCACTCGGGGGCAGTGCTGGGCTCTGCGGTGCCCAGCTCTCTCCGCCTCCCTCGGTTCCGGCTCGCCTGGGTTCGAGTTGGGCTGGGGCCCGGTTCAGCGACTCCCCTCCTGCTGAGGGGGCCCAGCTTGACTCGTCTGAGGAGTCCTAGGCCTTGCGTCTTCGCAGTCTAAAATCCCACCAGCCCTTCAGGGCGTACGTGGTTTAGGGTGTTTCCTCTTCCACCCCCTTCTTCCCCTTCGGGGAGGGGTTTACCGCTCCCCCTCCCCCCTCCCCTAGGCCTGGACGGGGCGTTCCGCGCGTCGTCGGGGCGTCCAAAACGGCCTCGGCGAGGAAGCCAAAATCATTGATTTTACTAAGGTTTTGGCCCCATCTTGGCTTCTTGGGGGGGCAACGCTAATTGAGGGACCCCCCTTCTTTGATCGGGGGCTACGGAAGCTGGTGGGGTTACGCGAAGCGTCTAGAATTCGTAAGGTCTTTGGGCCCTCGTGCCTCAAGGTTCTGGGATCTTTCGGTCTTACGGTCTCAGGGCCTTGGGGTCTTACTGCTGTTGGCCCTTAGGGGATATGCGCTTTAGGGTATTTGGGTTTTAGTGTATCAGGTCCTCAGGGTCTCAGGGAAATGCGTCTTAAGGTCTTAGGGCATTCGGGTCCCAGGGTCGTCGGGTCTAAGGGCATTAGGCCATTAGGGCCTTCGGGTGCTCGCGTATTAGAACCATCGACCCTTAGGGTCTGAGGGTCTTACGGCCGTAAGGTCTTAGAGCCTTAGGGTCGTCAGGTCTTCGGGCGTTAGGCCATCAGGGTCTGAGGTTAGGGTCTCAGAGTCTTAGCGTATTAGGGTACCAGGTCTTATATGTTCGGGCCTTACAACCCTGAGGTCTTAGGTCATTGGAACCTTTGGGTCTCATGGCGCTCGGTTCTTAGCGTGTTAGGGTATTAAGGCCTTAGAGTCCCAGGGTAATAAGGTCCTCCGGTCCTAGGGTGCTCGGGACTTGACGGCCTTTGGGCTTCACGGTTGTAGGGTCTTAGGGACTTCGGTTATTGGGGCCTCAGTGTGTTCGGGTCGTTGGGACTCAGGGCCTTAATGCTTTAGGGTCTTATGTCCTCAGGGAAGGGACTTAGGGCCATATGGTCCAAGGGCCCTAGAGCCTACACCATTCAGCCAAGAGGGGTTTCGACTCCCAGGCCAGCCCCGGCGGGGACGAATTCAGCGCGTGAAACTGGTCCCCGCTTGGGGCAAAGTGTGCGCGCTCCATGTGATGCACCGTATCCATTTTGGCTCAAGGTACAAGTTGGGCTGATGCGCTCGCGCAAGCCTTTTGTCCACGCTGGCCCCCTCCGCACTGGCGAGGCAGGACGGCTGAAATCGGGGAAGGCGTGGCACAGGCCCATCTGACAGGGCGGACCAGGGAAGAGCACCGCCAAAAGCGCCGCGCTCCCCCCGCTGAACTGGGCCCCGGATGAACTGTGCCCCGCTGAACTGGGCCCAGCTGAACTGGGCCCCAGTTGAACTGGGCCTCCAGCTCAACTGGTCCCCAGCTGATCTCGGCCCCGCGCCTGGCGTCGTGGCGGGACACTCTGGTGCCGAGCTCGACCAGGGCCCAGTTCAACCAGATAGGGCCCAGTTCAGTCTGGGGTCCACTTCAGCTGTGGACCAGTTCAACTCGTGTCCAAGCGGGGTAATACGCTCTGACTTTTCTAGTCTTTCCCGCCGTGATTGCTCCAAGAGCCCCCCAGTGATCCCCGAGGTGCCCCCAAGAGGCCCCGAGAGGCTTCCAAGATGTGCCCAAGAGGCCCCCAAGAAGCCCCGAAAGGGCCCCCAGAGCGAATTATATGCCCCCAGGGGCCCTCCAAGAGGCCCCTGAGAGGCATTCCAGAAGACACTCATATGCATCCCCGTGGCCCCCGACCCACAAGCCAGGCACGGTGGCACGACTCTTGCCGAATTCACTGTTGTGGGGTCGGCGGAGTGGCGTAAGCCCATTGAATCCACGTCCAGAAGTGACGTGCTGAGCGGCAGCGTTTTCTGCAGAGGCGATGAGACAACGTATCCAATGTATCCAATCGTTGTATACTTGCCACATGTTGTGCTGTTGTGCATTATTATATCTCCCCCTAACCCCCCCGTTGGAGTCGCGCCAGTCCGCCGACCCAAGATGGATGCCCCCCTTCTCGGGCTCTCGAAAGCAATAAAAAAACCATAGGAAATCTATGATTTGGGCCTCTGGGGCCTCTGGGGGCTCCAAGAGGGCCTCAAGATGGCCCGAGATGGCCCCAAGACGGCCCAAGACGGCCCCAAGACGGCCCTGGACGGTCCCAAGAGGGCCC